CCAGGTTCGATTCCAGTCAAGGGCATGTACCTTGGTTGCGGGCACATCCCCAGTAGGGGGGTGTGCAGGAGGCAGCTGATCAATGTTTCTAACTATCCCTCTCCCTTCCTCTGTAAAAAAATCAATAAAAGATTAAAAAAAAAAACAAAAAAAACCCCCTAAAAAAACACAAAAAAAAAAAAAAAAAGAAAGAAAGAAAGAAAAAAAAAGATTTAGAAAACGGATTTTAATTCTTCTTTTGTAAAACTACATGACTATTAAGGGTGCCATGTTCAATGTTCTACCTATTTACTAATGTTTTAACTTTCAGTTTCCTTTTGGTAAAGAGCTTTAGTAAATTCAGTTTTGCTGGCTGTATGTAACACCGAAAAAAATCCTAGGTGGTGCTTATAAATGCACCTTTATTTTTAATTTTATATTCATAAAATAATTTCATTTTCAAACATTTTATTTTCAGTCTTTTCTAAAGATATGGATTACATTTAGTACTATGAGAAGGTGTAACTCTCCAATGAAGCTAAGAAGTTTTTACTCATGGAAGGAGTGAATATCAAGCACAAGAAATTTTCAGAAGCACTGGCAAGAAGTGCCACTGTTCTTACTGTGCTTATTCTCAGCAGTAATTTCCATTTGCTGCCATGATAGTTAACTGCCGAATACATTTACCTTCCAGAAAATCCCAAAGGAAAAAAGCAATGTCTACTATTGGTACATAACAGAATTCTTTCACAGGTGAACTTGCTACAATTATTTTGCCAAGCCTGGATCTCAGATAGCCTAACAGAGTGAGATTTCGTTTACAAACAAACACTTTCATTTACCTGTTTATTATTTTTTACTAATTATCTCATAGGTTTCTAAAAACAAATTAAGGATCACACTGTCCCTTTAATTAGCTTTAAACATATTTTTTAAAAAAAAATAGGTGGCACACAGACAAAATAAATGCACACACCACTAAAAACACCATCACAGCAAAGCAACACAAGCCAGAAAGCAACAAGCCATGGACCCACATTCCCCAATGTCTACCGCACCTTCAGCGACTCCCATTTTTGTTCCATCCGCTGCTTTTCATACTGCATCTGACCCACCTTGATTTTCATGCTAGAAACTTTGGCCATTAAGGACTGGTAGAGAGACAGAGGAGTAAAAGAAAACTACAGATAGAAAGAGATAAGCTAAATAACCAAGAAAACAGTATCAGTTTACACAGGAGGTTAGAGAATTAAGAGAAATGACAGGTAATATGTTCTATCAGATTAGTTAAGCCCTGGTTTTTATTCAGAATAGTGCTTAAATCAAGAAGGTCTCCAGCTCAGAGAAAAAGTTCACTTGTAAAATACCTTCTTTGTCATATACTGAGTAGAAAACATATTGCATCTATATTAATGATCATAGATAAGCAGTGGAGCCATTTGTTTAAAAATTGTTGTCACTGAGAAAACTTACTTTGGTTGATTTCAGCTTTTTTTCATACTGAAGCCTTTCACTGTCCATTTCACTGATTCTTAACCTCAAGTCACTGATCTCCTGCATCAGCCCCTGTCCAGAAAGAAACAGGGAAATACATTAGGAAAGCGGTAATACACTTCAACATACCGAAATGGCAGCTTGGGAATCTTAAATCCACAATCCCTTAGATCAGACAGCTAAAAACAGTGTTCCTCCTTGAGAACTATCTTTCCATTTAAAATCCTGTTTTAAATTTCTAATTCTTCGGTCTTACAATGATGAAATCATGAAAATAAAGGTTACTAATGTTTATTAAGAGGCAGCTAATACCTTATATCATTGATCAGATATTTCTAGACTAAAATTCACTATATAAACTTTCACTTTTAAAATAAACCAGAGAAATTTTCTTTAGTAAAACCAATATTTTTAGGGTATTTTCAGGGATATGCTGGATGCTTGTAAAAATATTTTTATCATTTCTTCATTAGTCTATAAAGTACAGACCGTTCATCAACCCATTTGGGAGTATGAAGTGAAATTTAAAACCTTTAAACCAAAGATTCTCAACCTGAGGATGGATGAGGGCCCTGTCATTTAAAAATATATTCAGTGTCATAATGGATTTTTATATTTGGAAAATAAAAAAGATAGCAATCCTAATGTTTTCATAATACAAATACAGTATAATCAGATACCTTTTCTACTGCCACCTTTATAAAAAACTTATATGCTTGTCAAATTTGGATAAATATTGTGAGAAATACTGATATACTTTTTACTTTTTGTTCAGAGCCCAGAGAGTATGCTAAATGAGAATGCTAAATAGCAACGCTTCCTTCCCCCCCTGCCCAAAAAAAGGGCTCAAATACTCTGTGAAGGAGATTATGTTTTTTACTACAAGCCACAAAGGCCCCGCTTATAGTTAATGTATTTTTGTTCCTCTCTTTTATGAGACATTTATTCCTGAGCCACAAATTCATGGATGACAGAACAGAATTATACAAGAATGCCATACAAAAAAATAGCCCAGTCTTTGTGGCTCAGTTGGTTGAGCATCGTCCCATGCACCAGGAGGCCATAGGTTTGATTACTGGTCAGGGCACAGGCCCGGGTTGTGGGCTTGATCCCCAGTGGGGGTGTACAGGAGGCAGCTGATTGGTGTTTCTCTCTCACAGATGTTTCCATCTCTCCCTCTCCCTCCTTTCTCTCTCTGAAATCAATAAAAACAAATTAAAAAAAAAATAGAACAATGCTATAAGAAGGAAAACTTAGTTAACGAGGAATTACTCTAAACTTTTAAGTATAACCTCACAAAGGCTAGGAAAAAGGATGTACAATCAAATACACTTTCCAGAAAACTCACAGGCTTTTAAATTGTTCCTGTTTTAAAGCATTTCTTGTAAAATGGGGGAAAGTATTACCCAGCATTATCATATAATAATTACTTATTAATATTATTAATACAATGTTTCAATAAAAGGGTGTCTATTTTCTCCTTTTGTGAATGAGGTCAAGAACTATTTGACATCATTTAATAACATTTTAGTTTGTGATTCCTAATCTATAAACTCAGAATTCAAGTTCAGAAAAAAGTCAGTTTCTCCCATTTATTATCTCCCATTTATCAATCATCCTTGCATAATATGAGTTCTCAATAATATTCCCTCATCGATCTGGTCTGTTTAATATATATATTTACCCACTTTTCTCATTGTGAAGAAACAGCTTTGAATTCCTGTTAGGTATTGTATGCATTTACCACTTCATTTAGAAATGTCAGCAATTTGAAAAGAAGAAACAATGGAAGAAAATTGAATTATAAACTGAGACCATTTTTCTATTGAAAACAAACAAACACAAAACTACCCAATTATCTTTTGTGGCAACACTGGCCATATATCTTCCCATGATAACTCAAGCTGGAAAATCTGAAATTAGCTCCTTAATATGAAATTTTAGAAAGTGATATACAAATGATGTCCAACTAACATCTTACCAGAAGTTCAGTCCTTTTTAAGAAGGAAATCCCTGTTACCTTCCTCTTTTCCCTTCTAAAGAACTCCTTTGGACTTCCACAAAAATTCAGTTTCTGACATCTGTGCTGTTACCAGAAGGGGGCACTGTGGAACGATGTTAACCATCTGTCAGCAATTCTTGCGACAGGCACATCCTCAATCTTCAAGGTTTTAAGACTTTTACCCCCAGTCTGTGGAAGTACCTGTACTTCTTTCCCACTCCAATATATTCTTAGAACTTCATCCCCAAGTAATCCAAACTTCTAAGACAAAGTTAAAGAATTTTGGATTCCTGAAACAGCCAGGGAAACATTTTATTTTTATCAAGGGAACAGTAATAGGGAAACGAGCATATTCAATTCAGTTTTAATTTTGAAGACTATTTTAATTATGTTCATATATAACAAAGCTTATCAAACATCCCATAATCTCTGGGAATGTTCACCCTACATTTTATCAATAGTGTTAAATATTTATTGAAAATTTTCAGGGATCGAGTTTCCTGGAAGTTGATGACAGGATCACTTCGCACACGATTGAGAATGCAGCACCGGGGGGAAAGTTTTATAAAAATGCAGACGCACTCAAGAGATGTAAGTACTGCTCTGGGTTCTTACCAAAAAATCATACAACATCTACTTCAAGTTAGTCCTGATGTTTCGTTAACATTTCGTATCCAAATTACCCAGTCACACAGGTTAAGACACCCCCTAAACGCTGTGTATGTAACACAGAAGGCCATCTCTCGATCCCCAAACAGTGTCACTTCTTCCCCTGCAGCAGGGTTAGCTCCATGCCATGCCACCTGCGGACTGAATTCTACTACTGTGTTATGAATGGCAGAAGGAAAACTGTTTCTTTTTTTTAAAAAGCACAAGAGCAACGTTACAGAAATTGGGTAACTTCCTAAGTTCTAAGAGCCCCAGTCTCAATCAAATGAGAAACATGCTCATACGGGTGATTGATAAAAAGCTCTACGGATAAGACATGCACCAAGTTAGGGATTTCCTTTTGTTCCTGAGGAAGAAATACGTGTGACAAGACTTCCCATCATAGTTAGTCCTTTGACAGACATTTTGCTTTTGAAAAAGGCAATGAAGCAAACCTCATTCAATTCAAATCTATGAAGGGCTTTCATACAGTGATTAATATATGTATAATGTAGTACCTCATATCATGATGGCATTTAGTTGGCATGAAATAAATGTTTAAAATGAAGATGGGGGAGGGGGAAGAAGTAAATGATTTCTACTCCTCTCTCTTCCTTGGCACCCTTTTAAATAATCCAGTATGACATCTCTCCATACCCCAACTGAGGAAACAAAATAGAGAAAAAAGAAGAGCTGGCCCTAGCAGAGAAGGACATTCCACAGCCTTTAATATTTCTTTTCAAATTAATAAATTTCAAATGGATATGCCTTCCTCCCCAACAAAGCAATAAGCAAATAAATAAATTAGAAGACCTGGATTAACAATAAAATGGCACAAATGAGTATGTTTGGCCACAAAAATGGGTACTTCAAGTAGTAAAATCTACCCTGAATTTCACAAAAGAATAGTGAACTTTACTTCATTGGAATGATTTATGTGTGGAATAGACCAAAAGTAGAAGGCCAAATTAAATGACCTCTAAAGAGCTGTGATTTTTATGATTATATGATGAAAGCATGTCTTCTATATATACTTAAAAATCTTATTATATAATAATCAGTGTGCCTAAATAATAGCTAAATAAACAGTAAAATCATACACTTAAACCCATAATTTCCACAATGAAGAAAACCAGTACAAATGGACAGAGAATGGACAAACAGAAAGATACAAGCTCCAAAAGCCTAAAGTCACAAGTACTTCTAAAGGCTAATGAAAGGATTACTATTTCATATCAAAAGTCTAAAAACAGCCCGGCCAGCGTGGTTCAGTGGCTGAGTGTTGACCTATGAACCAGGAGGTCATAGTTCCATTCCCAGTCAGGGCACATGCCTGGGTTGCAGGCTCGATCTCCAGTGTGGGGCGTGCAGGAGGCAGCCGACCAATGATTCTCTCTCATCATTGATGTTTCTCTGTCTCTTTCCCTCTCCCTTCCTCTCTGAAATCAGTAACAATATGTTTTTTAAAATGTCTGAAAATAAAAACTGCCATTAGCATTTAATGATAAAAAGTCAACTTAATTAAAGATTATTCTTAAAAAGAAGCATAGCTGGATCCACCAATGAACTCACATGCGTATATGCATAACCCAAGGACACACAGGCAGTGGGTGGTGAAGGTTTGCGGGGCGGGGGGAGGGGAGGACAATGAGAGGAAAAAGGGACATATGTAATACCTTCAACAATTAAGATTAAAAAAAGAAAAGAAACGTAGATGAATGAGGGCACATGTAATTAACTGCCTCTCCCTCACACCTCCAAGGAATTTCAACTTGCTCTAGGAATATGTGTGTGATATATATATATATACGCATATGTATGTATATGTACGCACATGTATGTATATGTACGTAAAGAGAGAGGGTGCTGCTTACCTCTGTGTCTCTGAACCTGTCTTCATAATCCAATCTGTCTTTCTCGACAGCCGTCAGCTTTAACTTCAAGTTAGATATCTCAGCCATCAGATCCAGCTTCTGAGTTTCCAAGGATGTCCTACTCAGAAGCTCCTATTAGAATTTAAGAGATACATTCAAAAGTTGTTTCATTACAAACAGCCACATGTGGACGTGTCTCACTTATGCCTGCAAAGCAGTAACTGTCAAATAGAGGATTTGATGAGTAATTACTAAATAGATACAATTTAGTTAACCTTCACTGAGCAGCACTAAACACGTCTGCTTACTGGGGAGATACATTACGTAGATACACACATATATAATCCTTATATATAGTATGAAGCCTGATAACACTGATGATGATGATGATGTTATGTGTGCCATGTGCTAGGCACTGTTCTGACATGCACTTAGTGGTCTGAGCCTCAAAACAACCTTATTAGGTAGAAAGTCATGAGGATAATGCATGATGAGGAACTCAACAGATGAGGAAGCTGAGGAACAGAGAGGTTAAAAATTTGCCAAAAGTCACACAGCATAGAAATGGCAGAGCAGGGACTCAAAACTAAGCAGCCTTGCTCCAGTGTGTATTCTACCCATTATGTTATAGGTCCTCTCATATATGAGCATCATGTATGTCTGGGTACAAATTTTTTTCTAATAAAGGTCATATGTGGTATTTATCTTTTTTCTTAATCACATAAATATGCTCATGGTTGGGAGTTAGGAAACCATATGAAAGCATAAAGAAGATAATTATAATTACCTGTAATTCTAGTAATATTTTATTTCAGTTACATGAGCACATTTTTATTGTGTGTATGTATTTTGAGAGCCTGCTACCCTAGGTTTTTACTTAAAATATGCCAGTGTAAGTGAACTACGAAATGTACTGCTCCATCAGAGCAAACACAACAATGGAACATCTCAAACAATTCAGCAGGAAAGTCCCGCTGGGGGCCAGCTTCGTACGCACCTGCTGCAGCATTTCCTCTGTGGCGTTCAACTTCTCTCTGTGCTCTTCAAGACAAAACTCCAAATCTCGAATCTTCTCCCCCTGCGCCTCCACCTGGTCTGTCAACACACTTACCTGTATTTAGAGCAAAACATCTCAATGGATTAGGAAGAATTTGGGTCCCACTGCAAAGTTTATTTCTCTAAATAGAACAAAAACTGGAATGCTGTCACCACTCATTTGGATGTAAAGGGGGGAGGGGCGAGAATTCATAAGACAGCAGCCCTTCACACTCCTCTATATGTGGTGCTTGTTGACCTGAGGACTCCTATTCAATACTTAAGAAAGGTCGGGCTCACCGGGGGTGTACAATGCTTTATAGGTTAAAACCATTTCAACCATTTCAACCATTTATGAGAGGGAGCACGCACACGGATTAGCTTTTAGGGGTGTTGGGGTGAGCTGAGGGTAGGAGGTAGTATTAGAGATTACGTGAGAAAATGGAGTTAACTTTTGGAGGAGAGTTATCAAGGACTATTCAAGTTTGATACTTCAGGAGGAATAAAGAAAATAAACCAGAGAATTCAAATTCCATGAGATCTTTCATGATCACATTATCCACACATGTTTTCAAAGCCAGGATGAACTCTAAGGCCCCTGAGGAGCCACCGGGTTATTCCTTCACCCTCAGTGCTTACTGCAAACTCACCGTTTCCCCGCAATGAGCACCAACCTAGTAAACACACTAGGCTGGTAAAAGTATTTGTCAACTATTTAAAACAACATGGATGGACTTAGAGGGTATTATGCCAAGCGAGGTAAGTCAGAGAAAGACAAAATACGATTTGATTTTACTTATATGTAGAATCTATAAAAACAAAACAGGAACAAACTCATAGGTACAGAGAACAAACTCATGGTTGCCAGAGGGGAGAAAGGTTAAGGGGATGAGTTAAAAGGTGAAGGGGATTACAATTTTTTGTTATAAAACAGATAAATCACGGACTGCAAATGTACAGCATAGGGAATATAGTCAGTGATACAGTAATAACACTGTATGGTAACAGATGGTTACTGGACATCATAGTAATCACTTCATAAGTGTATAAATATTGAATCATTATGTTGTACACCTGACACTAATATAATATTGTATGTCAACTATACTTTAATAAAACATATATACATAACAAGGGGAAAAATAACATTCTGAACAAGGAAACTCAAATTTAGCCTACAAATAGGACTTCACCACTCACTTTGTTTGGCCCATGGTATCATTTTTTTAAACTGAAATATTAAATATAAAATTAA